ATAAGGCATAGGTGCTTCTGTGTTCACAAGCAGTTCTAAGCCATGCATAGTTCGGCTCCTTAGCAGCATCAATGGAAGAGCTTCCAGTATCTGGCCACCAGGCTTCAGCTTCATACTACAAAACAAAATATTTGTGGCTGTAAGACAAAGCACTTGATTTTTAAGATCCCTGAATATTCACTGCTGAAAATGTATATCTGGAAATCTGATCCCCTATTCAAATTAGACTGTTACTATAGTAAACCTGTGTGTTGGTTACTCAAAGCATATAAGGAACTGTTGTGCCTAGCTATGAACTCTCTGTAAGAAACTACATAAACAAGAGACAAAACCAAATATTTTAGTTCTAGCTTTCTAAGTCAAACTGCCACTCACATGAACTTCTCAACTCTCTTTAAACTCCAGCAAAGTGCGTAACAAGGTATTCTGCATGAAGAAGGAAAGATTATGAGAATTAAAGGTCAGAATGTGTAACAGCCTGGAGAAACAGGCTGTCGCAACAGAACACCTGGAGAAAGGACCTTGTATTCATTACTTTAGTTTTACACTAAAGAGCACAGGTTGGACTTGTAAAAGTCAATTTTAGATCCTTTTTTTATTTAAATCATCAGACGAAAGAGTACACTGGGTGTATTTTACAAACAAGCTGCTTAGTCCAGCACTTTTAGCTTTCAGGAATGCACTCAGATTGTAAAAACTAATGATAGACTGATGCAATGGACATTTTCAGCTATTTATTTTCATAACAGCCTTAAAATCTGAAAATGATGAAACTGTTTTTAATTAGAAAATTAAGATTTTTATGCATCTGACCTATGCAGAAGTTTTGTACAAAGGAGTTCTCAGATTGCTTTACCAGTTTATCAAAGGTAAATACTGAAAAAAATGACTGTCCTTCAAGTCTATAAAGGTACTCACAGACTTCTTGTTTTGTTTGTAGTAATGGGACGTTTAAAGTAGAATGATTAGAGGGTTTTCAAGGTTTCTTGTGCAATTGATAATCTAGATACTTAACCTAAGAAAACAAACCATTACTTTACCTAGATTCTGGTACATAGATCCAGATCCCCGGTTGTGTAAACTCGCTTTACTTCTTTCAAATCCTAATGTCTCAATCAAATTGCAGAAGAATTACCATTGAAAAAAACAAACAACCAACCAAACAAACAAAAAAAAACCTAAAACCAACAAAAAAACCCCACTAACTTCAACAACTCAAATTTTCTTAGACCAGTATAAGTCACTAAAATAAAGGTTCAACTGAGGAGTTAATGTAGAGATTGTTACACCTCAGAATTTACTCACATGGATTCTGATGTTATATCCGAATACAAAATAATTCAGAATCAGAACTGAAAATGTTCCAAAAAAGCCCCACCAAAACCAAAAAGCCTTTGACCATGTTCTCCCCTTCTAGAGACCTCATCTACCTGTCTTATACCCCAGGCTCCACTTTAACTAGCTCTGAATTTACCTAACAGCACAGTTTCAGCTTGCTCTCTTGTGGCCAACATGAGAGCTACAATTCTCCCAGCACTGATGTTCCATGGACCATCATGAGTGGTTCTTCTAAAGCATTAGAAGCTTCCTCAGCTAACAGACACAGCTGAACCTACTAAATGACTCAAGTTTCAACTCATAATCAAGTTATTGTGGCTTACCAACGACGACGTTACCAAGCATCAGCTTAGCTACAGAACTGAGGACATGCAGATTTCTAGCCCCCAGCAAAGCATGGTAACTTGGCACATTTGGGCCATAAACACATTATCAATATACTTCTCACATCTGTAAAATGACACATTTTACAAATGTAAAATGTACTGCCAACATCTTGAAAAGAGGTTTTCAGAAGGACGGCCTAACATTTCCAGCATGCTTTTCTTTCTGTCAGATCTTGGGCTTGGTTATTGAGGATATTGGTTTGGTCTTGTGTCTGCAAACAGCTGATGGCAACTTCAAATATTTTCCAGCATCAATATCTACTTGCCCGGTTTGTAACTGTTCACATTGTTTGTTGGATATTGTGTTATTTTGTGTATTTTTAAAGACCACAGATGCTGAAATATTCTTTGCTACTTTATTAACATTGTGTCAGGCATTATTAACCTCCCATAGCGTTACCCTAGAAACAGTTCAGGTTGACCAGAGATGTATCACTAAACTACATCGCCCACTCAGTGCCAGATGAGCTCCTGAGTCACCTCACCACTTCTCATGAAGAACAGTGCAAGCACATGGCAAACAACAGAACTACAGAAGCCCTGAAATAAGGTTGAATTAAGATGCCACAGCTCTGCACAGGCAGATAAACGGTGTGGGCCTTTTCCTTTGTAGAGTTTTAAACACAGGAATGACTATAATTTCAGCAGTAATCACATTGCAGGAATCCATTCATTTTAATATGACTTATCAAAAAGCACATTACATATCAGTAGAAGAATCAGCAATTCACGGTAAGACTAGAAGCTGAACACATTCCACATTTGCTACTATGCCTCAAGACCATTATTATAACTCTTATGAATCAACAGATGAAACATTCTCAGGAGCAGGGTGATGAATTAAACATTAACTGCATTTATTACTGAACATGGAAAGGATCATCAGTAAAGAAATTATTCTCTGAGTACTGGGTTACTCTATCTGCAACCTTTGTAACATAGCGGCAGCAGATAAAACACCCAGGCAGCAGAAGGTTGGAAGGTACTCAGATTAGATAAATTACTCTGCAGAACAAGAGTGTGAAACTAGAAAGCACCCTGAGCAGTAGCATCAGAACTCTTGTATGTAATGCTGGCATGTCTATTTCTAACAGAATTGGAAGACAAGTTCCAGAGCCTTTCCAACCCCTACAGTTGATCAACTTCAGCTGATCTGCTTTGGGACTGCCAGAAGCACATCTGGAAGTGAAGCACACTGGTATACTGGAGAAAGCTGGGTCAACCACCTAACCAGTTCCACCACACAATTCCACAGGCAGCCAAGGCAATGCAAGGGTGGAAGCAGCAGCGTGTGGTCAAAGGTGGAGGGAAGAACAAGACTGACCTTTTATGAAACTGGAGCCTCAGTTTCTCTTTGTTTTATCTTCTAAAGGCAAAGAAGCATAATATCTGCAGGTTATCTGTATTATTAAATATCCTTATAGCCAAATTGTCTTTTTTTTTTTTTTTAATGTTTCTACTAGGAGCCAAATCCCTCATCCTCCCTATACCCTGTGCCAAAAATTCCAATTAACAACATGGACATTCCAATCAAGCTCATGTATTCCACAAAAACAAGGTGTAACCTTACTCACAAGCTCTGTGTACCTAACACATATGATGATGGGAGCCACAAATCACAAAGCATCAAAGGACAACACACCCACTTCACTTATTAAAGCAGCAAATACTTGAAACAATTCATGAAGATTTGCACAATATTTGCAGTGAAGTCAGTAGCACACGGACCTGTAGCATTTTGAAATTTTTATCCCAACTGAGCTACTGGTAGCAGCCTGTAAGTTTGGAATGACTCTTGAGTCTTTAAAGTATTACATAATATTTAAAAACCTCACTTGGAGTATTGTATGCAGTTCTGGTGTCCTCAACATAAAAAGGACATGGAACTGTTGGAACAAGTCCAGAGGAGGGCCACGAGGATGATCAGGAGACTAAGGCACCTCCCACATGAAGACAGGCAGAGAAAGTTGGGGCTGTTCAGCCTGGAGAAGAGAAGGCTGTGTGGAGACCTCATAGCAGCCTTCCAGTATCTGAAGGGGGGCTACAGGGATGCTGGGGAGGGACTCTTCATTAGGGACTGCAGTGACAGGACAAGGGGTAACAGGTTAAAACTTAAACAGGGGAAGTTTAGATTGGATATAAGGAAGAAATTCTTTACCGTGAGGGTGGTGAGACACTGGAATGGGTTGCCCAGGGAAGCTGTGAATGCTCCATCCCCGGTGGTGGTCAGGGCCAGGTTGGACAGAGCCTTGGGTGACACGGCTTAGTGTGAGGTGTCCCTGCCCATGGCAGGGGGGTTGGAACTTGATGATCTTAAGGTCCTTTCCAACCCTAAATATTCTACAATTCTAAGAGGGATTCCTACATCAGTCTTAATGAAACTCCCCACTCATACTCACTAATAAATACGTGGTATCTTCTCCATTAGTATCAGCAAGCTTTCAGAGGTAGACTGTACATTCACCCATTAACTCAGTGATCAGAAAATGCAACTGCTTTCATAACTAAATCAAACTCTTAATATTTTGTTCTTCATTGGTGCTACTGGGAAGCATCTTCAAAACCTAAATATCACAGTACCTGGCTCTAGCATTTATCAGCCTAAATTTATGTATGATACCAAATGAGGGTAATGTCATTTGTCCTTCTGCTATCATCACCCTCCTGACACTTAGCCAACTTCTTCGTTATGTATTTATGAAGGCAGGTGCATTGCTGCAATTACCTATAGTAGAACGAAAGAGATGGCAATATTAAGACCATCCTATGAAAGAGGAAAACTTATCATCTGTAAATATATACCTTGTATCTCCTCCAGATTACCACTAAGGATACTGCTTAGACCTATTTCAGAACAAGCGGACTCTAGTCCATTGTCTCCCCCACACCAAGCAACTCCAAAGCAAAACCCTTCCTTTTTCCTTTACATTTTTCCTCGTCACGCCCTACAGGGCCCAGTCTCCAGCCCTCATTCCGAACAGCTTTTTCACCTTGGCCTTGCCAAGGCCCCCTCACAGGCTATGCGACAGCTCGCTGTGTGCGTTCGGCTTCCCGAAAACCCTTTGATGGGACCAGATCGGCAGCTACCACCCGTGCGGACAACAGCCATGGGCCAACAGGACGGCACTCTCAGGCCTTACCACCACAACACCCACTGGGGGGGGGAAGGGGGGGACACGGATAACCCCGCCCCCCCCAGCGCATGCGTGCTGAGTAGCGCCCACTGATTGGCTCTCCTCCTGGGACGGCCGTACGCATGCGCGCCGCTGTCTGCGCATGCTCTGTGGGTGGTGGGAGGTGGGGTGGTTCCGGAGGCCGTCTGTGTATGTGAGGGTTGTGGCGGTCCGCGAGATGCGGTGCGAGGAGAGAGAGGAGGGCGCGAGGCTGCGCCACAAAGAGGAGCTGAGCCGGAAGGTGAGCAGGGGCGGCGGGTGTAGGCCGCGGCCCCTCGTCTTCCCCGCGGTGCTCTCGGGGCTAAGGCACGTCCAGGGCTGTGCTGCCGCGGGAACCCAGTGAAGCCTGTAACTTAAGGCGGGATCAGTGAAGATGAGGGCGAGTGCTGTGAGGAATCGGGGGTCCTGTGGCACTGAGTTTTCATTGTAGGGCTCCTTGTTCTTGTCGGCGTCGCTGTTGGCTCTCTGGGCAGATTTGGAGATCTTTTGTTTATTACCGCTCCAAGTGGAGCTTGAGATGTCAGTAAGGCTTTTCTTTGCAGCATCTAATTGAGCTGTATCTACTCAAAAAGTGCCAGGGGTTTTTCTGTTACAGAGGGTGGCACTCATAAATCTGCTCTTATTTCCCGTGGTACCAATACGTTTGTTTAGTATGAAATCTGTGAAGTCCTACTGAACTGCTTTGTTGCATAAAGTCAGTGGGCGTTTTGATTGGCTGGGAGGCTGTAAAGCTACGGCATGTATTTCATGTTGTCATTCCTCCTATGCTTAAGTGGCTGGTTTAGCCTGTAGCAAAAGATGACACTGTCCATTGGAATTACAAGATACTGATACAGCTGCTGGAAAATTTGTCTTTTCTGTATGCCATGGTCAGTTTGGCTAACCTAGCAGTTTTCTGCGTTGCACCCATTCCAGGAGACACAAAGGAAGAACAAATTAAAACATGTTGCTTGTTTCTAGTGAAAAAAAAAAGGCATTAAGTGCTCTCCAACAAGATCCTGTAATTTTTATGGCTTTATGACAGTTCTCCTGATTGCTCTTTACCTTTCACAGATGTTATTGTAAAAGAAAATGGGAATACCTGCCACCTCTGCCAGTGCAGTTGAACTGAGTGGTAAATCCTTCTAAGGAAATTCGTGCAAAACTCCAGAAGCAAAGCCTTCTGTTGCTATTAATAACATTTTAAGAGTTTTGACTGTTTGCTGGTTTCATTTTTAATCTGGAGGATACCTGTGATTATAGAGCATAATGTAGATACTATGCTAAATTTTGGGTTAAAATTGTTTGATGTTTAATTAGTTGTTTGCATGTTTTCTTTACTTCTGAGGGAAAAGAAATAGCTAGAGGTCCTCTGGCTTCTGAATAGTGATTGCTTTTGAGAGTAGGAGAAATATTAATCCCTGCAAGATAACCTGTTTGTACACTTTTTGTATCTACTACTCTGTCTTCAGTGGTCCATTTGGAGAACAGCAACTATATATGCATGTAGCTGTCTTAAAAGAAATCAGTAAGTGTATTCACTAGCAGGATTATAATACAGTGGTTTACGGTTTACTTTTAATAATTAAATCAAAGTGCATCTTTTGCCTTTCAGATTAAAGAGCAGAAGGTTGTAGTTGATGAGCTGTCAAATTTGAAGAAGAACCGGGTAAGTATTTACAAATTCGCTTTTGACTGTTTCATTTTAGCATCAGATAAATAAATATAGAGACAAGAGGGGAAACAAAATTGGAGCACACTGTCTTTAATTTGTTTTAATACAGATTTTAATGCAGATGTGGTCTGATGTTGGCAGAATAATTTGTCCTTCACTTGTACCATAACACAGTATGTTGTTGGATTTTTTGTCTGTCTTATCTGAGTTCTTTAATTAAGATGTTTGAGTTGATCAGAAAACTTCATGAAGTATTTTTACTTCTCATGTGCATGTGTTTTAAAATAAAATGGTAGCCCTCATGTATGAGGAAAAGCAAAATGCTGACTAGTCATAGATAGATCATGAAATGTTTTTGATGATATAACATTAGAACGCTGGCATTCTCAGGGCAGAAATTGTCCTTCTGGGATAAAAATGAAGGGGTATATAAGTGGATCTGCATCAGTTTCTCTTGCAGGATGGTTGCCAGAGTTTCTTGCTCTGATCTAATGCAGTGTTAGTTTTGTTTTACAGAAAGTTTATAAGCAGCAACCCAATAGCAACATATTCTTCCTTGTAGACAGAACAGAAACGCTATCTCAATGCAAAAGTAAGTTTGCATTCTAAATGTTGTTCAAATAGTTAACTATTTAAAAGCTGTATTTATGCTGTTAATGATTGCAAAAGTGTGTTAAAATGAAAAGCTGGCAACTGTGTATCAAATACAGAGTAGACTTAAGACATGCTTGTTTTTCTGGATTGGATAAATGTGAAAGTGTTGTTATGTAGGAAGAGGAAGAATGTCTATCCCACAGAGGAACTGCTACTCTCAGTGCCCTTTGGGAAGCTGTATACTGGTTTGTCCCTTAAATAAAAATAAAAAAGCCTAAAAATTGCATGGAATGAGTAGGAAGAAAATAATATTAGTTTAACTGGAGGTTAAGTTAGAAATCTTCAGGTATTTGAAAGAACAGATCTGTGAAATTATGAAGATAGTAGATGGATGATAAAGAGAATTGATGGTTGAACAAATGTTAGAAATATGTAACTTTAGATGTATGAATTTGTTTTCTGGAATGCACAGTTTCTACTTCAGTTTTCTTTCCCTGTCAATTCACTACTTATCAGTTTATGAAACTGATTATTCATGTATTTCTTACACAGATACATTAGATGAATTAAAGAAGGCACATCAGGAGATGGAAAATTCAGAAAAGACTAAAATCAAGAAATAGCTCATCTGAATTCGAAGTCACCATGTGTGGTATTTGTTGCATTGTTACCTTGTGTAGGCAGCATGCTATTCATGATTTCTTTAACAAAGACATACTCTGCCATCTTAGAAGAAGAGGACCAGATAGTAGCCAGCAGTTGATAAAAACTGTGCCTGATCTCCCTTACGAGTGCCTGTTTTCTGGTCACGTACTTCACTTGAGAGGACTGTTGACTCCTCAGCCTCTGCAGAATGCCAATAGCGATATTTTCCTTTGGAATGGAGAAATTTTCAATGGAGTGCATGTAGGAGATCTAGAGAATGACACTGAAGTTATGTTTCATCATCTTGCATTATGCAGTAGTGAAGAGGACATGTTATCACTATTTTCATCAGTTCGGGGCCCATGGTCTTTTATTTATTATCAAGCATCTAGACACACTTTATGGTTTGGTAGAGATTATTTTGGTCGCCGTAGTTTGCTTTGGCAGTGCAGTAATGAGGTCGACAGCGCTTTCTGTCTTACATCTGTAAGTGCTTATTCTGAATCAGGACACCAATGGCAAGAAGTCCCAGCATCTGGAATTTTCAAAATCGATCTCAAAGCTTGCACAGCAACTAAATCTTGGTCTTTAACATTGTTTCCATGGAAGTACAGCTGCACAGAGAAAGCAGTAGAAGAAATATTCATTAATGTTCTGGACCAAGTTTCAAAAGACTTACCAAACCACATGCGTGTTGTGATGAATGAATCAAAACTGTGTCTCAGAGCACCAGTTATACCCTTAAATAAAACAATTTCTGAAGCTTCAGGTCAATGTCCAAGCACTAATATTAGCAACATTACTCATACAGTTTCTGTAGAAACCCTTCAAGGATTTCTTGCAGAGGAGCACAAGAAAAAGTTAATTTGTCAGTTTATTGATGTTTTAAATGAAGCCATAAAGAGACGGGTTTTATCTCTCCTTAGAGCTGAAGATCAGGAAACAAGAGAAGTTCCAAGCATGTCTAACAGGAAAGCACATACTGCAGTGCTCTTTTCTGGTGGCATTGATTCCATGGTTATTGCAGCCCTTGCTGATAAACATGTACCTTTGGAGGAACCAATAGATCTTCTCAATGTAGCTTTCATGCTGAAAGAACAAGCTAAGCAAAGGGGTACCTCTAAAAACCATACCAACGGGGAGGTACAGCTTGATCTGCCGTGTCCTCAAGACAGTTGTCAAGACTGTGATGCTAAAACTCGTGCTTGTTTCTCTTGCTTTGATGTTCCTGACAGAATCACTGGTAGGGCAGGACTGAAAGAATTAGAAGCCATTAACCCTTCAAGAACCTGGAACTTTGTGGAGATCAATGTTACACCAGAAGAGTTGAAAAAAATGCGACAACAACGCATTAATCACTTAATTTATCCATTGAATACAGTCTTGGATGACAGCATTGGCTGTGCGATTTGGTTTGCTTCCAGAGGGGAGGGTTTTATTAGTAACCAAGGACAGCTGAAACCATATAGAAGTCCTGCAAAGGTACTGATTTTTTTGTTGTTTTCTGCCTTGTGCTTGACCTGTGAATGTAAAACTAGTTCTGTTGTTTCACAAGTCAGCAAGTGTCTTTAATATTCACAAGGCTTCTGAAATTCAGTGGCAGAATGTACAGTAGTTCAGTAATGACAATCTCTAATTCTGGAGTTAAAAACTACATTCAGTTATTTTATGATGTAATGTGAATGGCTTTTAATTGAGCTTGAATAAGCAGCAGTGTGATTAGGAAAATAACCATCATCTGTCATCTTTGGTGTTTCAGCCCCAGTAGTGGGTAAGAGTTGTTCAGTCCAAATTGAGCAGTTGAACAAATTCAGAGTTATATGTTAATGAATTATTAAATAATTGTGTTTTGTGCCAGCATTCCAGCCCTTGTAAAATCATTACCTTCTTTAGGTGTGCTATTTTTGTGACAAAATAGCAAAGAGTAGTGGCAGAAAAGATCACTATTTGGAAGTGTTTGTAATTAGTGTCTGATCGAATGGCAGAACTACAAAAAAGTAGCTCTTTCCCTTTTGTAACTTATTTTCATGTGGTTAGTATTAAGTATGTTTGCATAGGGAAGAATAAAGTGATTAATTTCAGGAATTTGCAGTCCACTGCTGAGACTCCTGTTACTTTCCTACTAATTGCTAGACTCTAAAACCACAAACCCCCCCCCAACCAACAGCATTCAGTCCCCCAACAAATGCAGTAGTTTGCTTAAAAACTACTACAGAACACAGCTGATTTAGTTCACTGATCTACTTCATGATATGTGTTCATCTCAGATTTGCAAAACATACAAATTCATCTTATGTTTTATTAACTCATGACCTATTTCAACATATCCTAAACCTAAAGCGAAAATGTCATTTTCCCCATCAGTTACCTACTGCTACATACAGGTAAAAAAGCAGTTGACCACTGGCTGGTGTCAGATGAGTAAAACACACTTGATGTCCACTGTCATAGTTAAGTGCTGTTGAAGGCGTAGCAGTGGATCAGCTATAGTAGTTTTTTTTCCCTTCATAACATTTTATGTAGTTGCTGAGTAGACAACGATTGTAAGACATTTTTACATTGTGTAATGCAGTTACTAACCCGGTATTGCAAATATTAATCTGGGTGTAACTACTTAGAACATATGATATACTACATAATCTCCAGCAGCATTCTTTTTTATAAAGGCTGGTGTTTCGCAAATGCTCTTCGTTGTAATAGAAAATAACAAAGGCATTTTTCAAAGATAACTGGTGTATTTGTGATGGATAGAACATTATTTTGTGTGTTTTTCCTTGCATCAGTAGAAATATGTTTGTGTACTTTTAGACCTGATTGTGAACCTATTTCAAGTTCCAGTGAATTTGTTTGGAACTTTTTCACGCTCTGTAAATGTGCAAAGCACGTCCCATCAGGATATGTGATATTTAGAATCATAGAGTAGTTAGGGTTGGAAAGGACCTTAAGATCATAAAGTCCAACCCCCCTGCCATGGGCAGGGACACCTCGCACTAAACTATGTCACCCAAGGCCTCGTCCAACATGGCCTTGAACACTGCGAGGGATGGAGCATTCACAACCTCCCTGGGCAACCTATTCCAGTGCCTCACCACTCTAACAGTAAAGAATTTCCTCCTTATATCCAATCTAAACTTCCCCTGTTTTAAGTTTTAACCCATTACCCCTTGTCCTATCACTACAGTCCCTAATGAAGAGTCCATCCCCAGCATCCCTATAGGCCCCCTTCAGATACTGGAAGGCTGCTATGAGGTCTCCAGGCAGCCTTCTCCCGGCTGAACAGTCCCAACTTTCTCAGCCTATCTTCATATGGGACATGCTCCAGTCCCCTGATCATCCTCATGACCCTCCTCTGGACTTGTTCCAACAGTTCCATGTCCTTTTTATGTTGGACTCCAGAACTGCACACAATACTCCAAGTGAGGTCTCACAAGAGCAGAATAAAGGAGCAGGATCACCTCCTTCAACCTGCTGGTCACACTCCTTTTGATGCAGCCCAGGATACGGTTGGCTTTCTGGGCTGCAAGCACACACTGCAGCCGGATCATGTTCATTTTCTCATCGACCAGCACCCCCAAGTCCTTCTCTGCAGGGCTGCTCTGAATCTCTTCTCTGCCCAGCCTGTAGCTGTGCCTGGAATTGCTCCAACCCAGGTGTAGGACCTTGCACTTGGCTTGGTTAAACTTAATGAGGTTGGCATCAGCCCACCTCACAAGCGTGTCAAGGTCCCTTGTATATTGAAGTTACTCTCTTTAAGATATAGTTCAACATTTAAGATGTTACATATTATTTACCTGCATAGATACTAAGAAATATTTATTTTATTCTGGTTACTTAGGTTGTGCTTACAGGCATTGGAGCAGATGAACAGCTTGCTGGCTATTCTCGACACCGTGTTTGCTTCAAAAAGTATGGCTTCAAGGGTCTGAATGAAGAAGTGGAAATGGAGTTAGGTCGCATTTCTTCCAGAAATCTTGGTAGAGATGACAGGATTATTGGTGACCACGGAAAAGAAGCCAGGTATTACTGTTGTAACTTGAAGCAAAACTGGTTTTGCTGGTTAGATTCTGCTTTAACACTAGCAGCAGAGAGTTTAATTGAAACTTCTCTACATTTTGTTGTCTCAAATTTGTTGCAGTTTTGTTAATGTATTGTGTTGTGGGTGTTTGTTTTTGTTTTTTAAAAGAAGTGATCTCTAGTACTATCAAAGAGTTACCTAAGGAAATGCAGCAATGTGGGTTTCCATCTAGAACTTTTAAAAAGCACCAACACATGCTGAAATAGGCAAAATGAAGTTGATTTTATTGTTTTCGGATAAACAGTCTTTCTGCATACCTTTGAAGCGTCCTGGGGTGGTCATCTGGGGACTCTGAGACTCTGGAGACTGACAACATAATGTAGAAGCCACATATTCCTGTCCATGCAGTAAAGGCATCATCAGTATCTATTGTATTTCCTGGTTGCTAAGTCAGAATAGTTAAAACAGCATTTTTTTTTTTTTTGGTTACTTCCTTCATGGTACCACTTGCTACTTGCAAAAAATTCCTTGGGTATAGCCCAGTAGCATAGGCCATTCAGGTGCATGAAAGGTCTTTTTGCATGATCTCTGTGCCAGTGTTTTTCCAAATCAGTTCTTGGTTGCACATTTTCAGCTTAGCAAAACAAAACCATTGGAGTGGAGAACAGGCAGTGCTGTTAATCATGCATGTGGCTAGATCTGAATGCCTGGAGTTCAGGATGTTGTCAGAATTTGTTGTGTAAATATTTTTGTGTCAAAGTTAAGTCTCGCTTCCTACAACATATGGTAATACTTAGAAATGACCTTGAAGTGTTACATTTATATTTGTCTTGCTCTGCCAATGTTTTTTTTTCTGATTTTCTCTATAGTTTTTGTTTTGTATAAACCCAGTATTTCTGATGCTTGTTTTTTCTTTGCTTCACTTTTGAAAACTTCCAGACTTCTGAATTTAAACATGATAAATATTACATGTGCTTTCTCCAAGACAGTGTAACTGTTTTGGTCATGTGCCTCATTACTGGGACACTAACA